CTCTCAGGGCCGAACCTCGCCCAGGAAGAACCGAACCCGAAAGGTCCTCTCGAGACCGAACCTCGCGCACCACCCGAACTCGAAGGTACTGTTCATTTCGGTCCATTTCGGGTCTAATCACTTTCGGTCTATTTCGCTTCCCTGACTTTAAATCGAGCCTTCGCCTTTGCCTCTCACTTCCGGTTCGCTCCTTTCGCTTCCTGCTCGACATCAGCAAGGACCGAATCTCGGCCTACGGACCGAACCTCGGCCTAGGACCGAGAGGTCTCGCTGGGAACTCTTTTTCTCCCGGTTTTCGACTAGTTTTGCGTTTAAGGCCCGTTTTTAATTATTTTAACGCGGTATTTTCACCCAAAATCATATTTTAACATAATAAACCCTAAATATTCACAATTTAATCATATTTTCATGAAAATCTTTATTTTAATAATAAAAGCTAGTGGGTAAGGTACAAAGAGGTGGAGTGTTGACTTTGCTTTACCTTATGACACAAGCAACCACTCCCACAACCACTCTATGACTAGCCACACCTCCCCACCTTACCTAGGTCACATCAATGTCCTTTCCACTCAATTATCACCCTTTTCCCACGTTTTTGAGAGCTGGACATTCATCCTCTCTTCTCATTTTCTTTCACATGCTCTCATTTCACCAAGGATCCAACTCAACTTTTCTCTCTAATTCGAGATTTCCAAGGCTGATCATCAAGTGTTCTTCCACATTTGGTAAGAATAATTCATTATCCTTATGATTATTTCACTTCTTCTACGCAAATCATTGATTGCTTACACAAACTCCATAACTATGATGTTAGATTCTCGAAAATCTTCAAGGCATCTCCAAGTGTTCTTGAGTTAAACACTTCCATTCTTCAAAAATCATCTTCTGAAATCACCTAAGGTGAGTTCATACCCCTACATTTTAATTTTTTCTCAAGTTTTAAGGGGGGGAATACAAGTTAAAACACCAAGAACATAACTAAACTCTTCTAACAGCCTCCGTTAGAAAAGTTCAACTCCATTCACGGACTGTTTTAGACAACTTAAACATTTTAGTTTTCAAAAATGTTTTAGTTGCAAGTATTTCCACTTCTTAGCTTTAAAATGACTACTTGCACATCTTCATACGATTTTTCTACAATTTATAGTGATTTTTACAAAACAGCCTGTCTTTTCAAACACAAATCCGGACCAGTCTGTGAATATGAGCATTTTAATACAAGTTAAAGGCTTCCAAAAATCATGATAAAATTTATGAGTAAACTAGACACATTTTGGGAACTCTCAGAATTTACGGATCTAGTTTTCGACTTCGTATGATTTTTCTATGAGTTTTCCAAAACAGTGCAAAAAGGTTAAAGTTAGTTAACAGCATATAAATATCATAACACTTTGTATTATGTTGAGCAAAGTGTATAATCATAAGTTCTAATTATTGAATGTGTTTCCTTGTTAGTTTATCATTATAAACTGAAACTAAGTCATTCATGATAAGATTATTCATTCATTTAGAACTCGTATATTAAGCTATAAAAAGCATAATTTAATGAATTCATAACACTAATGCATTTTCATAAAAGAGTTTTTACATATTATAAACATTTTAGATAAACTATAATAGGTATAATTTATGATACATCGCTTAACACACTCGTACAAAAAGGGTATATCCATACAGAAAAGGTTTATATTCACACACATTACACGTAAACTTGTTAACCTAAATTGTGAGACATTCTCTTCCCGTACGTCCGAGTGCGGGATATAATTCCTGGTAGTTATAATCAGATTCTCCTGGAGGGAGAACGTGATACTTGTATATAGATCTATATTGGGTTTGACACCCCACACCTTGCTGCTAGCTACAGTGGGACCTGCAGGTCTACGGGTGACAAATGTCATTTCAGTTTTGCGATGCCTGAGAAACGTCGTGGCAGGTTCATTAAGTCGTAGTATGATTATAGCGACTCACATAGGGATATAACAATCCATAAAGTTTACGGGATTTTCATAAAACCTAAATGGGTTTTATGACGATTTAAAATCACTTTTTATCTCAATAAGTACAGATAATACTGTACACTTTCGGTTTTGGTAATTATGATTACACATCATTTGAAACCACATTTATACCTTTAAGTATGGCCAATACTGGTTATTTCTCGGTCCTGGGATTTAGGACTACATATACATAAAGTATTAACAAACATAAGAATTTACGGAATTTTATTTAATTCAAGTGTGTTTTATGTCGATTTAAACACATACCATTTTCTATTAGTAAGAGAGGTTACTTATACATTTTGGTCTTGGGTTATAAGACTACATTACACAGATTTTAAAGAAAATATCGGATTTTCTGGATACATATTCTAATGCTTTTACAAGAAAAACGGTTTACTTCTCTAACGAAATCTCTTATGAACTCACCAACCTTTGTGTTGACACTTTTTCAAAACTACTTGTATTCTCAGGAATTCAGTGAAACAGGAAATCAACAATGTTTTGAGGATGGGACGATAATTCGTCAAACAGTTCATTTTGTATCATAATGTAATTGATGTGAATCATGTAAGCATGTACTTTGATGTAACTTTTTCAATTATATTTGTGATGGCTGTATTTACTTTGAGCACTATTATACTCGTTGTTGTGATACTCTACATGAAGTCCTCCACCCCCGGATGTTTCCGCCATCCTTGGTTTGGGGGTGTGACATAATGGGCCTAATGAACCCTAATTAGTCAAAGGACCTAGTTATTGGGCCTATTGGGCTAATATGGGTTGGAAACCCTAATTAGGGTTTAGAAAACCCTAATTCCATGAAACCCTAATTTGGGATTTATCAGGCTTATTTAATCAACATAAAATATTAATTAATAACCAATTGCAATTAACCTAAGGCCAGGTGGGACTTAATGAATTAAGTCCTTAATGGTTTAAGTAGGGACACTTAACCCTAATCATCATTTCATGGGAAAATCCTAATTTCACTTGGGTTTATTGTTGGGCCTTGATGATTGGATTATTAATGGGCCATCATAGAATAATCATATGGACTAGAATATGTTGATGGGCTTAGGGTAAGGCCTATATGAGGGTTTGGGCCTTAATGATTATATGATATTGGGTCACTAGAATGTCAAATGTTGGACTGGAATAAATGGATTGGGCCTTGGGCTTGAATCAAACCAAGATGGTGTAATGTAGCCTGTTACTCCAAGAACTTATGGTTATGTGTTGGGACCCAAATATTAATTGGTTATTGTTTGATGTTGGCAGTTCTGGAATCTGTCAACCACCAGTTGGATTTGCATCAGCGGGACTTCAGTAGTTCCAGGTGATTCTCCTCACCATACCAATGGGTCTAAGGCACCAATGCCGACCCATTTTATGATATGTGATACACTAACTGAAGTATTATGTGGCATGTTAGCTGTTTATATGATAGGGAGTATGCTAGTAATTATGTGGTATGCTAATTGATTATGTGGTACATGATATGCTAGTGGTCTTTGTGATACTTGCATGGAAGACCTCGGGGGGTTCCCGAGGCACTTAGGTGTAAGACCTTGGAGGGTTTCCACGATATCCTAGGTAAAGACCTCGGGGGGTTCCTGAGGCACTAGGGTGTAAGACCTTGGAGGGTTTCCATGGCATTCTTAGTTAAGACCATGTCGGGGTTCCCATGACATTGGGCTAAGACCATACGGGGGTTCCCATAGCACCCTATGTAAGACCCTGGAGGGTTTCCAGGGCATCCTTAAGTGTTGCATGATTATCTTATATGTTTGTATATATGGTTTGATTAGTAGTTAGTGAAGACCCTGTAGGGGTTCCCATGTCAATGTAATAAGACCCTGGAGGGTTTCCACGGCACCTGGTGTAAGACCTTGGAGGGTTTCCAGGGCTTCCTTGTATGTTTATATACATGGCTGGTGTAGTTGATATGATTTACGTAAGTTTGTGAATAAGATCTTAGAGGGATTGCATGGCATCTTTATATGTGCAGATGCATGCTTATGCGATTGTTATGGTTTATGTAGTTGTTATAGCTAATATGGATTATGTGGGTATATGGATTGTGTGGGGTATGCTCTAGGGAACTCACTAAGCTTCGTGCTTACGGTTTTGTTTATGGTTTCAGGTATCATCGATTTGGAAAAGAAGGGTTCGGATTGATCGTAGTGCACACACCTATGATTTCTATAATAAATGATTTTGGGATAAACTCTGATAAATATTTTACTTAATGATGATTTGAAATGTTTGAAGTAAATGGTATCAATGCTTTAGCTACATTTAAAAATGAAAGTTTTACCCTTGATTTTTCGGTCGTTACAGATATTCACAACCTTGGTAATAAGTAACAAGTATCAGATTGGTTCTGTGTTGGGATGTAACTTTGATACAAACTGAAATAATCATATCTTTATGCTTCCGAGATTGTGAGAAGTATTGGATATTGTTGGGAATTTTACACAGATCTTAATGCAACTTTTCTGATCTTAGTTAAGAGCTTGTTTAATTAGACAGTAAAAAGTTAGGGTTAATTGAAGAGCTTGTTTTGGTTTATTTAACTATGTAAAAGAGATTATACTAGAGCTTGTTGGTTTTTCTCCATACCAATTTAGATAGAACGCATTTTGAATAACCAGATATGAGCTGATTACATGATTAGGAAAGTCGCAGTTGAACTGAATTCATTTGAATCATTGAATTTGCTTAGTTTATTTTCATTGATATTTAGCTTAGTTATTAATAAAAAAATCTCCCTTTTTCATATTTTTTGTTTATTAACTAGATTGTATCTGATGCAAAAAGGCATTGACTGTTAGGTTGTGTGTCTGAGGATTCGACCCTACTCCCTCTACTAC